AATCATACTGTATGTACTCATGTATAAGTCTAGAAATTTTAGTCAAAAAACTGACCCCAAAAATCTGACTCTACTTATCCACAGGTCAATGTTAGTACCATACTCTAACTTTTACAAAAAAAGGAACTAGCATGTGATGAAAGGCAAGAGCTTAATTTGTCCTGGAAGCCCTGACTCCCCTCTATTTTCTCATCTATCCAGCCTTCAGTGTGAGCACAAACAGTGATGTCTTCTTGAATTTTGTAATTTATTTGGCATTGTTTCCCTCTGCTTCATTCTTTACATCCTTTGTTACATACCCCAAGTTTTACCCTTAACTTATCCATGGGTCATATCAAAAGCCTAATTTTGGCCCCAAAATCTGTCCTCAACTTATACATGAAGTTGACTTACAGTTGAGTATATACGGTACATTCTTTTCTCACTCAAGATATGTCCTTTGCAAGGCCGAGGGCAAAAGGGTTCCTTCCTTAAGAATCATTTGTTTGTTACAATTAAATTCTACCATTCTTTTAGGGAACTCAAAGTAGTGGTATCTATGGCTTTTCTCTCTTATTTAACACTCACAACATTCTTGTTAGGTTGGTGAGACTGAGCAATAATGGCTTAGGCCATTTCATGGCTCAGCAGAGATTTGAACATAGACTCAACAGTTTTTATGACATTGAATGTAAAGAAATGGCACCTCTATGTCCCCTAAAATGCCAAGATTTTGTATGCCTGGCTTACTCATTTCTTTTTTGAGGCTTTTTTTTTTTTACACCATCAGTGTTACAAGGCTTGGGAGCAATGCAACAAAACTAAAGACTTGGTTTCAAGATATCTCCCAATCAGTCATGATCAGAGGACCACATATCTGTGAATAATGATTAATTTTAATAAAGTTCTTTGTTGACAGCCATAACTGATTCCATTCTCATTGTGCCAAATTGCCTCATCCAGAGAAGAAAAAAACAATCATGAAGTCAATGTTCATTGATTTTTTTTTTCCTGAAGAGCGGGAATCGCAATGGTTCATTTTTGCCTCTCAAGATAGTAGTTCAAAGCTAATACTCTAAGCCTCTGGTGCGGGTGCCAGGGCATTTCTGCAAAATAGACCAATTTTCCTCACACAAAAATTTTTTAAAGTCCAGAATGTATTTATTTGCTTGCTAAAGCTATATCCTTTCACATAAAAAATGTAGAGATAATTGCAATTTATAAAAATCAACAATAAATGTTAAAACACATTTTTGCCCAGTCCACTTGTACAGATTGCCCTGTGTTATGCATGGTGAAGGCAAGGTGCCTATTGAATCACCAGGAGCCTTGTTGAACAGCATCAGCCCTTCATGACTCCTTGCTGAATCTTGACCCCTTTCACTTATTGGTAAAGAAAGAAATCTGAAGGCACAGGGAAGAAGAACTGTGCAGGAAAATAAGTGGAATGTTTCTTTCTTTTGATGGGGCAGAAATGGAATTAGTTGTTGATGGTAAATTAAAAGGGACATTTATTTGCAGGGAATCTAGGTGGAATTTGAATATTTAAAATACTTATCAGAAGAAGAATTGTGCAGCAACAGTTTGAGGTTCAGACCATACTTTTGCCAGTCCCATATTACTGTTTGAAACTATGACATTCCATATGTTTTAATAGGGTTTTGTTTTTATAATTGCAAGCTGATTGATACTCTCAAATAAACCAAGAATGACAGACTGCCATTTGGAAGAAAAATTTATCGGCATCCTGGTTTCCCAACATTTCTCTCTTTCAGACCATGACAGCACCATAGTTTCCTTGCTATGCTATCCTTGATGCCTCTCTGTGTGTGTATGAGTGTGTGCCTATCACTTAGGACAGACAGCAGACATCTATAATATTCTACATTTAAAAGAGGTTAGAATTTGACAATAAATTAGTGGAACTCTAGATTACCTGAGCATCAGACTAGTACACTACCATATATTTGGTTAGGAAGACCTAAATCTAGGGACAGGTAAACAGCCGAGATGGGTGCGGATACTAATTTTAAGCCCCTCAGAAGGCCACACCTTGCCATTTTTAACCAATTTTGACCATAAATCAAAACTAGAAGTCACTTCCAGTTTTGAGTTCTCAGTTTTCCAGTGTGTGTGTGTGTATTTGGCCTGGCGATTTGGGAATGGGAAATGCAATTTATCACTTTGAGACACTCTGGATCTGAAAAAAAAAAATGCATGTGGGACTGGGGAATGGAAGGCCACAATAAAGCTCTGGGGGTCGCATACTGTCTGTAAACAGGCCACATGATTTCCCCCCTAACTTAAGAAAATGAAGGGGTGAAGCTCAGTCCATGCCTCCACCATCCTTCCCTTTCAACCTCCACAACCCCTTCTGCCCCCCCCTCCCCATTTGTGGCTCAGTCTATGGAACAGTCACATGGCATTGCTAATCTTTCTGAAGTAAAGTTTAAATGGTGTCCTCACCACATGATGGCATGGCAGCAAGGGCTGCTGGATGTGCTGCCCCCAGCAACCAGTAAACATGCCCTTGGATGAGCCCCGTAATCACATGCAGTTGGTGGAAAACTCCTGCCTTCCAGGCACTTTATCACTGTATTGAGGTCGAGCAATGTTCCCAGGTTTCAAAGCTATTAGGATTTCTGTTCCAATTCGCATCTGAGTCTGAACTTTCATCTGCAACTGAAAAGGGGTGGGTGGGTTGCAGACAAACAAATAAAATGCAGTGAGAATTTATTTTGGTACCTCCAAGCTATAAAGATACTTGCTTTTCAAAAACAATAATATTGTGTGTCACTGCTGTCTAAAGAACTTTAAAAAAATGCTAGCACTCTGGAGAAAGAAAATTTATTTTTTTACCATAAACAAATCATTCACAAATACCATACAATATAGACAGACAATACATAACAATACAATACCTATTATATAATACAAACAATTAAATTAACACCATTGCAAACAAACTAAAACTGGCTTCCGATCCTCCAAATCAGATTCATAAAATATTGCTAGAAATTATATGTACTTAATCATTTTTGCATAATCTGTATTTTCACTTCTGACAAATCAGTCTTCCTAAATTAAGCTCAGTATTCAATCCCCAGAAATGTACTTAGGCCGTCTTTCCTCCATAAATATATAATAAACGTTTCCCAGTCTATCAAACATTTTCCCCAATGTCCTATCAAAATAGATAGTTTATCCATTCCACCCATCTCTACCATCTTTAGTATCCATTCGTCTTTAGAGGAAAAGAATTGACATTTGAGTGTGAAAATCAACCTCATCACAACCTGGAAATGCCCAGTTTGTTACACCCAGTAATTATCTCTATTACGGTAAGTTATGATGCCACTTATGATGACAACAAGTCAAAGAGCTAGATTATAAGATGCTGCACTACATGATTTTGGCAGCTAGGCTGTTGTACACAAAATACCGGGAGACTCCAGAGATGCCATCTAAAGACGAATTGATACGAACGATGATAGAGATGGCGGGAATGGACAAAGTACCTATTTTGATAGGACACTAGGTAATTATTTTGGACTGGGAATCTTTTATTCTATATTTACCTAGGAAAGAAGGCGTAAGTACGTTTGTGGGGGCGTAAGTACGTTTGTGGAGGTTCAGTACTGAGCTTTACTTCCTAAAACTGATTTGGCAGAAGTGAAAATACAGATTAAGCAAAAATGAAATAGCACATGTAATTTCTAGAAATATTTATGTATCTGATTCGGAGGGTGGAAGGCCAGTTTGAGTTTATTTGTAATGGTGTTAATTTAACTGTTTGTATTGTATTTTAGTAATTGTTTTGTTATGTGATGTTTGTCTACATTGTATGGTATTTGCGAATGATTTATTTATGCACTAGGCGAATATATAAATATATGTTATGTTGTTTTTAAAAATCAAAATAAAATATTGGAGGAAAATTGTTATGATGGCACTCAGATGACCTTGTTTATCCTGGTTCATCAGCAGTACACATTGATTCACTCTTGTTTATGCAATAGGATCTTGCATGTAGTTGGCACTGCAACAAGAATTAAAATGGTTTTCACAGCGTTTGTTCTCTAGGATTTTATTTTTTAAAAGAACAACATTCATCCTCTCATCTCCAGGCAGGATTGGGGTCTGTTTTGTCCTCCACATGACAGCAGCAGGAGGAGGAAACATGGACGGTGGGGAGCAAGTAAAATCTCCTTCCCTGTTGCATCCACAGCTGCTTGTGTGTGTGTGTCATTGTGCGTGCCTTCAAGTCACCTGTTGATTTTTATGGTGACCCCATGAATTTCTTTGGGTTTTCCTACACAAGGAATACTCAGTAGTTTTGCCAGTCCTTTCCTCTGAAATATAGGTCCAAAACACACTGAAGAAATAATCCAGGTTGAGACCACTTTAACTGCCCTGGCTCAATGCTAGGGAATCCTGGGACTTGTAGTTTATTGTAGCACCAGAGCTCTTTGACAGAGAAGGCTAAGTGTCTGACAAAACTATAGTTCCCAGAATTCCCAAGCACTGAGCCAGGGCAGTTCAAGCGGTCTCAAACTGGATTATTTCTAAAATGTGTTTTGGAGCACAGTTCACATTCATTATTGGTCTCCCATCAAAGAGATGAGAGTCCTCTGATGATCTGTATTTTCGTGTATTTTTGTCTCCTAGATCCTCGAAGATCCTAGATATGAATATCTCCAAACTCACAAACCTTCAAAGCTGCAAGCTGTGCACTTATTGTGGAAAAACAAAGTGAGGCAAGGAACAATTACTGCCATGGGGCGGGGGGGGGGGGGGCAGTATGGTGTAGTGGTTTAAATGTTGGACTCTGACTCTGGAGACCAGGGTTCGATTCCTAGCTCAGCCATGAAACCCACAGGGAAAGTCACACTCTCTCGGCCATGGCAAACCCCCTTTGAAGAAACTTGCCAAGAAAACCCCATGATAGGTTTGCTTTAGGGTCTCCATAAGTCTGAAATGACATGAAGGCACACAACAACAACATATATTGAACAGAAAGAGACTGTGTGGCATAGTGGTTTGAATGTTGGACTACAACTCTGGAAACCAGGGTTCAATTCCCAGCTCAGCCAGAGCCCACTGGGTGGCCTTAGGCAAGTCACACTCTCTCAGCCTCACTCTCCTGACACTAAGAGCTGTTTGATAGTTGAATACATTGCCTTGGATGGTGGTGGAGTCTCTTTCTTTGGAGGTCTTTAAACAGAGGTTGGATGGCCACCTGTTGGGAGGGATTTGATTGTGAGTTCCTGCATGGCAGAATGGCTTGGACTGGATGGCCCTTGAGGTCTCTCCCAACTCTATGAGTATATGATTCTATAAAGGCACCCAACGACAACTAGAGCAAGCCACACTCTCTCAGCCTCAGGGGAAGGCAGTGGGAAATCCCCTCTGAACCAATCTTGCCAGAAAAACCCCATGATAGGGGCACTGTAGTGTTGACACAAGTCGGAAACGACCTGAAGGCACACAACACACACATATCCTTCTGTGTATGGCCATGGAACCCACTGGGTGTTCTTGGATAAGTCGCATGTTCTCAACCTCAGAAGATAGCAAAATCAAACCACCTCAGGACAAATCTTGCCAAGAAAACTTTCAGAAGTCGAAAACAGGCACACAGCACACACACTTTCTCAGCCCCAGAGGAAGACAATGGCAAACTTGCTCCTCTGAACCAATCTTGCCAAGGAAATCCCATGATAGCTTTGCCTTAGGGTTGCCGTAAGTCAGGAATGACTCGAAAGCAAGCAACCTTAGACAAGTCACACTCTCTCAGCCTCAGAGGATGGCCATGACAAACCCCTTCTGAAGAAACCTTGTCAAGTAAACCCTGTGATAGGTTCACCTTAGGGTCGCCACAAGTCAGAACTGATTGAGGGCACACAGCACACACATATCCTTCTGTGTATGGCCATGTAAATCCACTTGGACAAGTCACACTCTCTCAGCCTCAGGGGAAGGCCATGGCAATCCCCATCTGAACCAACCTTGCAAAGGAAACCCCATGGTAGCTTCGACTTAGGGTCGCCACAAGTCGGAAACGACTCGCAACCAAACACCACAAGCAACCTTAGGCCAAGTCACACTCTCTCAGCTTCAGAGGATGGCCATGGCAAACCCCCTCTTAAGAAACCTTGCCAAGGAAACCCCATGATAGAAGCTAGGGTCGCCATAAGTCATGAACGACTCGAAAGCAAGCAACACAAGCAACCTGAGGCCAAGTCACACTCTCTCAGCCTCAGAGGATGGCCCTCTTAAGAAACCTTGCCAAGGAAACCCCATGACAGCTTCGCCTAAGGGTCGCCATAAGTCGGAAACGACTCGAAAGCAAGCAACCTGAGGCCAAGTCACACTCTCTCAGCCTCAGAGGATGGCCGTGGCAAATCTCTCTCTGAACCAATCTTGGCAAGAAAGTCCCTTGGGCCTAAGTCGGAGAGCACCTGAAGGTACAACAAGAAGAACAATCCCCAAATAGAAGCAGTTGCTAGGAATGAGAGTCCCCCTTTCCTTCCCCTCTCTCTCTCACCTTCGGGAGAGCCAGCCATGCGGCCCAGGCGGAGCTGTTGCCTCCAGCATGGAGCCCTTGCCCGGCCGGCTCCTCCGCTGAGCGGCGTCAACAGAGAGAGCGGCTCCTCCGCCTGGCCTCCCTCAGGTCACGGGACGCGAAATGGCGGCGGCGGAGCCTCACGTCACGTGGGCAAGGCTGGCTGAGGGAAGGCCCCGCCGCTCCAAAATGGCCGCCGCCACCGCCTGAGAGGAAGGAAAAGAGAGAGCGACCCTCCTGTATTCTTGTGCCTCCGTTTCCGACTTAATGGCGGCCCAAGCCATGGCTCCCTCACAAAACAGTGCCAGGAAAAGGGGTCTTGTAGTGACCAGGTCTCCTCCTCCTCCTCCTCCTCCTCCTCCTCCTCACTGCCAAGGAGGACAAGGCATCGGCAATACTACTACTACTGATAGTAATAATAATAAGACATAGCCGTGTTAGTCTGTAGACTCACGGGGGTTGCAGACTGCCAGAAAT